TGTCACTCATGATGTTTCAACCAGATCTTTAGCTCTGATACCAATTATTGATTTAACTTCAAATAGTAAACGTAAGATTATAAGAAAACCCTTTTATTAGCTCAAGAAAAATCTCTCAAAAACTTAAGCTCTCACTAAGAATCTCTCACAAACTCATAAAGGTTGTCACAACTTTAACAACTCCTTATATAGATTCGTAAAACTTCCTAAACTCATTAGGTAAGTATATTCTCTTTTATCCTAATCTCCTATATATTAGGAACTCGGTAGCTTGCTTATCAAGTTGTTGTCAAGTTTATCTCCAACAAACAGACGATCAAAGAGATCTTCAACAAGAACTGAGAGAAGACAGTATACGTAAAACCTATCTTCCTAGCAGTATGATGCAATCAGGTCGTAAAGAACAATCAGCGAGAAGTCAAATCTTTTCCATATTAGACTCAAACCACAGATGTTCTAAGAGATCGTTCAAGAACAAGACATAATAGATTAGCGTACCTGCTAGAGAATCCGAGAAGAGACCAGAAACTCCACAGACAAGTCCCTGATTCCAAAAATAACATAACAGCAACTTTGTTTATGTATATACACGCCACAATCTAAAAAGGGAATACAAGTTTAACACGTGTCATGTACACCACAAGCTAGAAGCTTCGTCATGATTCTTCTTCCTTAATCCTTGCAAATTTTTAATTTTTATTTTTCAACCACGAAAGTCCAAAGTAATAAAAGCTAAAGAGGACAGCATCAACAAAGGTGAATTGACTAGTAAGAAAAATCATGAGACATGGCTCTACATTTATAACTAGAGATCTTATGCTATCTACTCATCAAAGAAGATGAACATCTAGACGTATGACTTTGGCTTTTTAGTCTCAGCGTTCTTCAATGGCGTCTGAATAAACGGCAGAAGCAAACTCTTTACATACACTTTCTCTTACAAAGTCATCCCTAAGGTATTGTTACAGTCTTGCAGGTTCGTTTCTTCAGAAATCTTGAGAATCGAAGTCAGGTTCGTTTCTTCAGAAATCTTGAGAATCAAAGTCAGGTTTTGACGGGTACTTGAGTCCCTGAAGTTCTGGCATTCGTCTTAAATCTTCTTCTGAGTATGCAGGAATCAACCAATACTTCTTGTCCACACCAAATACCTATAAACATAAACTCCCAAATAAGAGATTAGAACATGAGAAAAGAAAGAAACTTGATAAGTCCAAAACAAGTTATCAAACTCTACACTCACTTGTTCAAAGTTCTTCTTTCGACCAAGGTCATATGGCCATTTCGGACTTGTTTTCTTCTCATATGCCTGTCACAAAGTCCATGCACGAAGTAAAGCTTTGATGCACCAAACTGTTTTATAGGCTAGAGTATGGAAAAGAAAAAAAAACATACCTCTATAGTTGTGGTATTGCCAGCTACGAGCGAGATGTGCATGATCAAGAAACCCATAACGCTTAAAGCAAATGCCAGGTTCAAAACTGTGGTAATGAAGATGAAATATCATGAGATGGATAAATGTAGCATAGAAAATGGATCATAAGGTAGTAAAAACTTACCAAATGCAAGAAAAGTAGTAGCAAGGGTGCTTGGGGTTCCAGGTATCTCTTCCTCGCTAAAGAAGGCTATGAAATGTGGCATGAGAAGTAAAGTCACAAGAGTTGTTTCCAAAAAGGTGTAAAACTGCATTTGAACACAATGATAAAAGAGTTTCTATCATGGATGAATCATACTCCCCAACAAAATTTCCAATTCTGGTAAGAAACATTAAAAGAAACCACTTTGGCATAGGGATCACACCATAGTAGATGTATAAGTAGACTTACCAAGAAGAGAAGAAAATACTTATAATTAAGCGCCCCAACACAATTAACAACCCAAACACAATGATGGTCCATTTTCAACACACACCGACCACCTGAGTTAAACACACAATCAGTTCCCTCACCCAACAACTTCTTTAAAGAAAATGAGAGCACAAAATAGAAAGATCTTACAAACAGAGCAATGATGGCAGCGAGGAGGCTTATGCTGATTACATTTCCTACAGAACCGAGTTCTTTGGTTCGACGAATCAGGCTGTAACCCGCCAAACTCCAAACTATTCAACGGATCACACTCACCCTGTTGCTCTTCGTCTGAATCTGGCCTCCAATTAGAAGGCACAACACCAGGATCAGTAAACACAACAGAGAAGTAACTCCACAAAAGCATCCCCAACTGCATCAACGCAAAACAATTCAAAAACCCAACACAGAAAACCGACAATGTAATCAAACAGTTGAGCAAAGTACGAATATTTTGTCTGAAAATTTAACCAACAAAAAGAAACGAAAACAGAGGAAAATGGTGAAAAGGGTTTACCAAGAAATGAAAAAGGAGTATAACAACAAGAGCTGCAACAGAATCGAGCCCTCCGTCTAATAACGCGGGACCGTAATTGGTCCAAACGACGGCGTAATAGGTCACACCAACGATGCCTAAGACCAGAAGGATCATGATCGATCCAAGTCCACGTAGAGCTGTGCAGAATTTGAAGACGTTCCACGCCATTGTTGTGCCAGATCTATGCATAGTCAACAACCAATCACGATCGATGGAAGAAAAAAAAAATTAATATTTTGCGGTTTGAAACAGAGCAGAGAGGAAGAAAAAAAAGGAAGAGACTTTTATTGGCAAATTTGAATCCGACGAGGGAACGGATGTTAGTGATTCGAAAAGGTTTATGGAATGAATGCTAGTGAGAAATTCTAGATGCAGCAGGGACTCAACGAGGAAGACGAAGCCACCACCAACCTGAGCTAACGATATATCATCAACGATTTTAAGTTTAGTATATAAACTAGATTTAGTTACACGTAGTGTATACAACAAGCCCGTCTAGCTCAGTTGGTAGAGCGCAAGGCTCTTAACCTTGTGGTCGTGGGTTCGAGTCCCACGGTGGGCGATTACTTTTAACATTTTCATTTTTGATTAATTTTAAAAAATTAAAATATAATAAAGTAGCAAACATACATTTATTTTTTTTTCCAATCTTTCGTCAACAAGTAAGAACATCTTAAAAACGGAAAAATCACCAATAAAATAAATGATATTTTCAATTCATATACAAATTTTTAACCCAAAAGTCACATAAGAATTTAAAGAAAGCCTCTCGCTTGGCAGCACTTTATAGCTCCAGCGAATATTTCATCGGCTCCAGACTTAAACTCGAACCCTTCACTCCTCAGCTTCTTCGACGACAGGCTCATCCTTTTCTCTACTCTATAACTCTTCAAACTTTACGTATCCACGAACAAAACATAAATAAAAAATTAAATGCTTAAAATAAAAACACGTAGAAAGAATAATAATATATATATACTTACTCAACTGGAGGTAGCTGAAACTGAGGAAATTTCGTAGACAACAACTCAAAGACCTCATCGATTTTCATCTCCACCGACGAACATATATATCTACCTTTCGCTGCTTGTCTTTCTAATAGATATATCATTGCTCTTGCAACGTCATCAATATGCACCATGTTGTAAGTGTCGAACAAATACTTCTCCTTGTAAGTTCCTTCAATAATGAATTTAATTTACTATAGTGAACAATGATTATCCCTCAAAAGATCAATACACATTTTTAACCGTCTTTAACCACAACAAAATATTTTATCTAATGTAATTAATTAGGATTCTTTTTTTCATATTAAAACCAAACATGATTCGAGATTTATCTTCCATATATATAATGTAAAATATTATTAGTGATTGGCATAATTCACATCAAAAATCTAATTTAGAATGGAAAATTGTCCATACACATATATTGTCCGTGTTTCAAAAAAAAAAACACATATAAATTGTCCAAAGATAACATCATTAACCAATGTGAGACATTCTAATAACCTTTCTTGAGATGTAGGTGGGAAACGGTCTATAGGGAAACAGTCAAACCCAACATCTCAGAAATACCACATCAAATGGGCCACTTTACAAGCTACATGGGTAGAAAACTGTTACCATATCATATACTAGACTATACCATGGACTCTGATACCATATTAGTGATAGATTAACTCACAACCAAAAGATAGTTAAAAAGTGGAGGATTGATGTATATATTGCCCAAAGATCACATCATTAAACTCTAAATAAATACTAATATATGTATGTGGTTAAAAGTTATTAAGTTAATGAAAATGCAGGTTAATTATAACCAAAGATTGGCAACCATGATTGAGAATCTGAGATTACTATGTATGTGAATATATGAACCTTAATATGATGATATTTTAACCATGACAATTAACTTGGATGATATTTAACAGACAAAAAAATATACGGTACTAATTTTAACAATTTTTAATATAAACTATACCTATATATTTGACATTGTAACCAAAGTTGTAATATTTGTCGACCATTTTCTCCCAAAATAAATATTTATTGAGCCTACTAGTTTTTTTTTGTTAGCTTAACAATTATGGAGAGATATAACAAAAAAAATAGCTATAAGAATCTACGTACCAAAGATCATGGCTAGAGAGATGAAGACGGAGGAAGGCAACGACGGAGATATAAAAGGTCCAACGACGAGAGGAAGCACCACCGTCACAACCTCCAATCCATTATCCCCTCCGAACTCAAGCGCCGCCGTCTCCGCCGCCATTTTCGACACAACGTAAGCGCTACTCACTCTCTTCTCCTTCTGATTCCTAAACACCTCCACGTCGCTCCAAACGCTCTCGTCCACCTCTCCTCCGTTTCCTCCATCACCGCTTCCGACGCCGTAGAAAACGGTGACGGCGCTCGACGTGTAGAAAAAGCGTTTCACGGTTTTAGCATCCACACACGACTTTAGTATTCCCATTAGACCTTGCACGGTGCGTTTCGTGACGATCTCTTCGGTCTCGTTGCTGTTCGGGTCCATAGGATGCGCCACGTGGAACACGGCTTTGCATCCTTCGATCGCCGGTTTAAAGCTCTCCGGTTCGTTGAGATCGGCAGTGAATATTTTGAGCCTCTCGGATGCAAATGGGAGTTCGGTTAGGTAGCTTATATCTTTTTTATTCCCTTCTGTATTAGGCGGTAGACCACATAGTTATTAGTTATCATCATTTATATCTTTTGTTATTTAATTATTGAGCATATAATATATGGTTGACTTTATATATAGAAGATGCATGGAACATGACAATAGCTATGGAAGTCCAAGATCCTACAAACTGACAGATAATTCCAGCTAAGTACAATAAATTTCTCACATCCTTATATTACAATTGTCATCCAAAAATTAACTTTAAATGTTATATCGACATGTATAAACTATAGTCTATCTCACTTTTTTGTATTTAAAAATTAAAACGGACTAATCAGCCCTAAAACGAACAGCATGATTTAACTTGCATTTGGTAAAGCGATTGTATAAGAGAAGGTAATCAGAAATAAAGAAACCGATGGAATCGAACCTGGGTTGGTTCGAACAGTAGCTCGAACGGAGTAGCCACGTTGTAAGAGACGCATGATGAGCCAAGAAGCAATGAAACCAGTCCCGCCCGTTACACAAACCAACCCCGTTCCGTCAAAGAAAGACGACGCCGTTTCATCCCCAAGCTTTCTCTCTCCTCCTCCGTTCTTGTCATCTTCTTCTTCTTCTCTCCCCATGTTCTCTCTCTTGTGGTGTGTGGGAACATCTTCTAAAGGGTTCTTAAATAACGGAACCTACGTCATTTACTCTCTCACACCTATCCGCGTGACATGTTCCCCGTTTTGCCCTCTTCACTCTTTATTACAAATTTGTTTTATATATCCGTTACATCAATGCTAACATTTTACAGATCATCTATACTATTATGTGTATAATAATTCACATTCTATGTCCGTTTATTACAGACNTCTAAAGGGTTCTTAAATAACGGAACCTACGTCATTTACTCTCTCACACCTATCCGCGTGACATGTTCCCCGTTTTGCCCTCTTCACTCTTTATTACAAATTTGTTTTATATATCCGTTACATCAATGCTAACATTTTACAGATCATCTATACTATTATGTGTATAATAATTCACATTCTATGTCCGTTTATTACAGACATTGTTATTGGATTCCGTTATTTTTTCATTCTTTCACCCTCTAAGTACAAATGATCTTTTTTTTTTACTAATATGTACCATTGTTTTGTCTTTTAGTGGTGCAATGTATTAACTATTGTATAATGCATGTTCTTCTATGCATAGGTTAAGGAGTATTATATCGCTTGTGGTAATATATAATCAAAAAGAAAAGCAGAAAGAAAAAAAACGCGTGAATGAGATGGAATGGAAAAGAAAGTGTAGGCGTGGCACATGATCCTGCAACAATCTTATTTGTGTGTCTCCACAAACCTACCGTCTTTCTCGGGCCGTTGTTCTGTTGCTGTTGCAAACTAGCTTCCTTGTTCTCTATATATATATATATATGTGTATATAAATTGATCTTTTTGCAGACAAAAAAAAAATTGAACTTTATGGATCAGTCATTCTAAAATGTGTAAATAGATTACTAGTTAAAAGGAGATTACTCAGTTTCATTTCATTCAATATATATTCTAGTTCAATCAAACTACTAGCTAAGGAAATTTATCCTATGTATATAAGTATAACTAATTAGTTAAGGATTCATCTTCCAACTACAACAAAAAGACAAAAGTGACAAATGAAAAAGAAAGACAACAAAAACTCTAATCAATCATGTGATTTGATAGTTTTTCGTTTTTCCCGTGTACAGTATATAAAAAAGGAATAGAAGCATAGGAAAAGTCTCTAAGTTTTGTTGTAACCCGTAGAGACTTATCTCAAACAGTATACGGATGTTTTTTTGGGCGTGTTAAATAACCGGAAAGTAATTGAATGATTCCTCTACTCTCACAGAATCTGAATCCAGATGGTAGTATATACAGTGGTATTACGCTTTTAGTCTGCGAAAACATTATCAACGCTTATTAATTAAGTTGATATTGAACTTTCTAACTTGGTTCCGGCCAATGTACTTGACTGTCTAAAACATGAAAACTTTTAATTGCTAAACCATTACACTACAAATCTTTAAATAAAATTTGGTGTGTAAAAATGATGTTTCTGAGATCTAACACGACCAACCCTGAACTTAGAAATCGGCATGAGAAAGATGTACAGTTTGGGATCGGAAGTTCACCTTTTCTTTACTAAAATTTACAAACATGATTAATTTTCTCTTGGTGTAACTATTCCTGTGGCAGGTGATTCGGGATTTTCAGTTTATATATACTCTTATAATTTTCTTATTCTATACTAGTGTATAGGGGAACGATGATCCCTACGTTCCTAAGGATAGCTTATATACTAAAGTAATTCAATTTAAATCGATTACAGCTATATAGATATAGTGATTGCGCGTGACCCATGACGAAGAACTCCGAGTTTTTTTTTTCTTTTACATCAGGCTTATATGGTCCACTTATACTCTCTTAAATGCAATTTAATTATAAGAAACAAAACAATACTAGAGGAATTTATATACACGACTATTGATTAATGGCTTTCATTACACATAAAATTAAAAATTATTTGTTATTGATAGTTCTGAATACTTAAAATGATATCTATAACATTATTTGAGAAGTAAATTTGCTTAGTTGTCAACTTCTCCATGATTTTAGGTTATTTTGTTTATTTTATATTTGAGAAGTAAATTTGCTTAGTTGTCAACTTCTCCATGATTTTAGGTTATTTTGTTATTTTCATGTTTTAATAATTTATTATATAATAAAAACGAATTTATGTTAATAATATTATATTTTTAGAAAATATGTTAATTCTTATGTATTAGATTGTTATCTGAAAAATATATTTTTCAATTATTATTTTAGAAGTAAATTTGCTTAGTTGTCAACTTCTCCATGATTTTAGGTTATTTTTCTTATTTTCATGTTTTAATAATTTATTATAAAATAAAAAATAATTTATGTTAATAATATTATATCTGTAGAAAATATGTTAATTCTTTTGTATTAGATTGTTATCTTAAAAATATATTTTCAATTATAAAATGTAAGTGAATTTGCTGATTAATTTGTAACTTTCACGATGAAAGTTAGCGGTTAATATCGTTTATATCATTAATGAATAATTTAAATTTTTAATATAATTAAACATAAAAAACGAATTTCAATGATTTTAGATTTATTTTTATCTAAAACTCTTTTATATTGGGTTATAAAGTCTTTATTAACCTTGAAAAAATTATATTAGTTAACATATGATTAATTATAAATTAAAAACGAATTTCATTTATTTGATAATTATCCTAATTTTAATTTTATTTATATTGTGTGATAAAGTCTTTATCAACCTTGAAAAATAATTATATTTGTTAACATATAATTAATTCTAAATTAAAAATGAATCTCATGAATTTGATAATTATCTTCATCTAACTTTTTTATATTGTGTTATAAAGTCTTTATTAACGTTGAAAAATAGTTATATTTGTTAATATGTAGTTAATTATGAAAAATCAATTCGCAAAAAAATTATGTATAGATAATTTATATTGTGTTATCCAAAACATTATTAAAGATAATTTTTTATATTTTTTTTGTTATGTCTAAAAATGATATTAATTTATTACTAAGTGTTTTAAGTTCATGAGTATTTTCAAATATAAGTTGTGTAATGAAAGTTATTTATATGATGATGAAAAAAATTATATATAGAAAAAAATTGTTTAGATTATTATTAAATATTTTGAGTCTATGAACTATATTTTATTATAATTTACATAAATTGATTATATATTTATTTATAGATATTAGTAAAATTATTAAGCCCGCAAGTGCGGGCAAAACACCTAGTCTATACTATTATTTGTGAAGTGATTTTTCGCAACGGAACTCCCACGTTAAAAGTTGGAGTGGTTAATATCGTTTATATCCTTAATGAATAAAATATATAAATCAGTCAAAAATAAAAAACGAATTTATATTTATTTGATTAGAGAAATGATTTAAATTATAATAAAGATAAGAATTATCCATAATCTGAATATATACTTAAAAATAAAATAAAAAGATAATTCCTATATATATTATGTTGTTATCAAAAACAAATATTTATTTAATATATAATCAACCATAAATTAGAAACAAATTTCACTGATTTGATGACTATTATTATCTAAAAATAGTTGATATTAATAAACCATAAACTAAAACTGAATTAATATAGAAGTAACAATAAATTAATTATATTTAAAAAATGAATTTGCTGATTTATCATATTCTCCATAATTTTATGTAATTATACTTATTTATCATGTTTTTATGATTTTGACTAATAATTAATTATTACCCTTAATTAATGACTAGATAAAATTATTATTATATAATTATGAACCGTATATTAATTAGATTTACTATCCTTAATGACAAACTTAATAACTAATTGGATTTATTACTATATAATGACAAATTAGATCTATTACTATATAATAATTAGAAACAAATCTTATTTATCATGTTTCTTATGAATTGATGATTATCATTATCTAGACTAATGATTATAATAAATCTAATTATTCATTATATAGTAATAAATATAACTAGTCATTAAGTTTATGTTTGTTTTGTCATTAAGGGTAGTAAAAATCATAAGAACATGACAATTAGATTTACTATCCTTAATGGCGAAGCAAACATAAAATTAATGACTAATTAGATTTATTACTATATAATGACTAATAGTTATTACTATTTGACCAAAAAAAGATATTTTGCTATATAATAATTAAAAATTTCAATATATAATTAAACACAAGTAAAAAACGAATTTCAATGATTTTAGATTTAGCTTGATCTAAAACTATTTTATATTGGGTTATAATCTTTATTAACCTTGAAATATAATTATATTTTTAGTAATATATCATTAATTATAAATTAAAAACGAATTTCATTTATTTGATAATCATCCTTATTTAATTTTTTTATATTGTCTTTATCAACATTGAAAAATAATTATATTTAAAATAATTATATTTGTTAATATATAATTAATTCTAAATTAAAAACGAATTTCATGAATTTGATAATTATCATTATCTAATTTTTTTATATTGTGTTGTAAGTCTTTATTAACCTTGAAAAATAATTATATTTGTTAATATATATTTAATTATGAAAAATTAATTCACAAAGAATTTATGTATAGATAGTTTACATTACTAAAGATAATTTTATTATACTTTTTTATGTCTAAAAAGGATATTAATTTATTACTAAATATTTTAAATTTATGAGTATTTTCACATTTAATTTGTGTAATGACAATTATTTATATGATGATGCAAAATTTTATATATAGAAAAAAATTGTTTAGATTATTATTAAATATTTTGAATGTATGAAAAATAATTTATTATAATTTACTTAAATTGATTATATTTGTTTATAGATATTAGAAAATTATTAAGCCCGCAAGTGCGTGTAAAACACCTAGTTTATTGTGAAAGAAGAAGCAATATCCTATGCCTATTGGAAAATGATTTAGAAAAATAAAACCCACAAATGTAAATAATTTATATTTTATAACCCATGGTTAGATAAAATGAATTTTTAGTTTTACATCATTCATTACCTGAATTGGAAGTGTATATTTTTGTTCATATATAAGATGTCCATTGCCATTGTCTACCAAACCGAATTTTCGTAGACAGTAAACCCACACTTTGAATATGTGGATTAGCAATGCGTGATACAATTAAGGCTTGCTTTAATCACATTGCACATAGACTACTGATATATAAATATATATATATATATAGATACCTCCTTTAGTTACACTGCACATATACTAATCATATGAAAAGGAACTAGTTAGCTAACAGAAATTAGAGAAACCGATTCGAGCCGCGTGTAGACGAGCACCAGACAGGTAGCTAAATTTATTAATTTGTCTTGCGTAGATAAAGCTTATATAGTGTGTTGCATAACGAAAACCGCATGTAAGATCAGAAAGAAAAAAAGAAAAAAAAAAGAAGAAGATGAAACGAGTATCACGTTTTGAAACTATGAGCTTGTGAAAGCAAAACCTCTGTAAGGCCATATCCTAGGAGATTAGTACGTACTAGACTACTAGTCATGCATTTTCTTGATATCAAACGTATTCTAGAGTATATAAAAATGAGGAGCAATGTATGGAACTTTCTTACTATTTCTTTTTTTTTAAAAGTCCAATTCAATTGAAATTTGAAATGTCAGTTATTTTTAAATAACAAGGCCCATCATAGCTCTTGAAGCTCATCTAAATTTGGGATGACGTGTAATTAGAAACTCATTTAAATTTTGAGTTTAAGCCCAACTACATTTTTAAGTTTGCAATTACAATTTTGTTGAAGATCTTTTTTTCCTCAAATTTTGAATGACAAACTCAACTTGCTTTCTTTCACCCATTTAAATCTTCATTAGATTAAGCTTGAACAATTTCAGTTCACCCAAAGTTTGAAGATCCAAGGTAATCAAGCAAAGGCTTTTTCAGACATGATTATTATAGGCAACAACACCATCAAAACGAAACAGATCCCTAAGAGCACTCATCATGCTCTCTATCAAATCTATTTTTAAGTATCAATTACTGTATCTTCAAAATAGAAGGAATCTTCTAAAATCATCATTGGTATACTTCTTCAAAATCAATAAACTTATCATCACTAAAGTTGAACCTTGGTAGGACATAGTTTGTTCGTCTTATATTGGTTTTGTTTTTTTGGCTTATATAGAAATACATTTGGTTGTTTTGGTAAGCCAACTAAAACTAGTTTTTGTAGAATCAAAAACCATAACACTAGTCATGATCTTGATGTTCATGGAAATACAGATAATTTCCAAAAACGCAACACCATCACTATCAAGAAAGTAATAAACTCAAGTGGAGAGAGTCAACTATATAGAATAATAGCTCGTCAGCTTTTTTTTCTTCTACCAAACACTCCTCCCTTGCTATACTACACAAGTCTCGGTTGTGGTTTGATCTAACCGGAAGTGCAAGCCGGAAGTTTGACTGTCGGAAAATACTTAGAAACAAACTGCATCGCCAGTTCTTGAAATTCACTATCTTCATTTCCAGCTTGTGGTAATTGTTCTTCCTCCCACACAAAATCCAAGTTCGTTGGTTCCATCGGATATTCATTGTTATGAGGTGGCTGCTGCATTTGTTGTGGTGGGGTCACAGAAAAGCGCTGAAACGTTGAAAGACGAGCTTGAACATGAGCAATCTCAGCTTGTAGATTCATAACCTAATCAAACACAAAGTCTTGCTTGTAAGTTTCAACATATATGTATATATATATAATCAAGTAATAATAATTAAGAAAATGTTTTAGTAAAGGACCTGATGTTGGAGAGAGAAGAGATGGCCAACAGAGCCATAAACAGGATCATGGAGCCTAGCCAAAGCCTCGTAACTGAGCGTGGAGACCGCATCATGCCGCTTGTTCAAAGGCAATCTCAGTAACATCTTTGAGGCATTGCTTGCTCCAAACACTTTGTGAACCGCTGCAAACGTAGAAGTCCCTTGCTCTGCATCAAAATAAGGAGCGAAAACGCATTCACTCACACACTTCCTCCTCAAGAACTTGCACGCCCCGCACGGTCCTTCTCCTCCTCTTCCACCGCCGTTCAAGTTTCCGGTCATTATCTTCAAGTGGAAAGAGAGACTAAGAGGTGAGGGAGAAAGAGATGAGTTGTTTATTCACATATATGTCAGGCCAAGTCGTTGAGCTACTCCAGTGATTTTATATACAGGAATGAAAAGTGTTTGAGTTTTGACTGTCATTGTAAGTATGTGAACACTATTGAATGATCGGCCGCTTATTATTTTTATATTTCTTAGTCTTTACGTGAATACTACTCATGTATTAATGTTACATATAATTATAATATATCCTCCTATGAACACTTAATATCGGTTCCAAAATTCTATGTTATAAATGATCTTCTTGTAACATGTTCAAGATATTTAGTGTGACTGGAAGTTAAATCAAACAAACGCTACTAATATTTAGGCAACCCACAAGTCCATTCAATGAAATATTAGTATATGTTGTATAAAAGATATATACGCAAAGATAAGATCGATATCAGGGTGCACATACCACGTGTGATCAATTCATATAGCTCAAATCAAATGTACATAACCCTAAAACCCTAACGTACATTCTATTACATTATTTGTAGCCCTAGTGGCCCATCCTCATGCACTTTCTTTTCATGCTTTCACATCTACTGTCACTCTCTCTCTCACTCTCTCACTCTCTCTCTCTCTCTCTCTCTCTCTCTCTCTCTCTCTCTCTCTCTCTCTCTCTCTCCTAATGTACATGTACGGATTTTGAGTGTATACATGTATATTATAGATATCCCCACATGAACTCATAGATACTAAAAATGTAGGAAGGAGTCTTGAGATGTCTGAGTTAGACCATAACCCTAGATGTAAAATTGTATCAACACGAGGGTTGGTTTAGAGAACCGGACTAAAACAAACATCGGAGGCGATGCACAATTGACACTGAAAAACACACAAACACCAAAACATGTAAGTATTAATAAGTTACATCTTTCGTAAGTAAGTGAGACAAGACAGCTATATAATTGAATTTCTCATTTCCATTCTCCACTATCACAATCAAGGTCAAAGTGATAATAGTCTTCGTGCAGAGAGATTTGAGAACCCAATCTCTTGACCTTCTTTATTGCCTCTTCTTCCTTTTTGTTCCTGTTCCACCCGACATTATTAAACTCACACTCGATCCGGTCATCTCTTTTTTAGTGTTTCTATTTTATCTTATACTAAATTTATTTTCAAACTAAGAACATATAACAATTTATGAAGAAAACTCTTTGAGGTTACTAACTTTTTAAAATAATAATTTCATACTGATATGTACTGAACTAACCATTGATCGTAACGCAACATATTTTCACAAACTTAGTGACTGAATTCATGAGGAAATCAATTTCCATTAACCATGATTTTTTGTTGGGATGAAAGTAAACATTGAAAAGCACCTTTTGGCATGAGGAAAATTGTTCTTCGAGTATTCGTAGTCAAAGAGACAAAACAGAATTGACGGTTGCGATCGAAGCAGAAACCGCTTGTCTGCTGTTTTTCAAGGTAACCAAAACAACCCACGTCGTAAGAGCTATACACGTCGCATGGACATATCCTCTATGACTTCATGTCACACGGACCTAAGCATTCATTTACTTACATCACCATCCTTTCTCTAATAGTGAGCCTATAACAACCCTTTTTATTACGTCTATATATATACGGTCTACTATTTGTAATGCATCATCCATCACAACAATATCAATATTCATAACTCAACGCACAACCACTTGATTAGTGATTAGTACTTAACTAGTTATTGTATCATTTTCAGAGATATAATATTGAATCTACAAAGGGTAATTTTATTCAAGAGAATCAAAAAAATTAGAATGAGAGTGTTTCAAAGTTGTTAAATTAAACAAAATCTAAAATTCAGGATGTGATTTTCATATGTGAGAATCAACATATGTACCAACACTAAAAGAAGTTGAAAGTAAATTCCAAATTCTGTGATATGTTGATTTTAAAACGATCTCTGATCAAAGGTCTGTCATAAATATATTTCGTGTTAAATCAAAATTATAATCTTCACTTTCCAACTACATATACTTGATTTTAATTATATGAAATGGGAGCGTGGAGAACAGAATCGCGCCGTTCGGTTTCTTGTCTGCTAATACGTGAATCTCTACTCCGTTTTACTTCATTATAATTAGCCTCCAGCTCCATAACTCTCCGGTGTTCAAATTTAACGCCTCAAAGAGCTTTTCATATTCGAATTTGCATGGGTTCTTCTCTTTTAACCAAAAAATGGTAAACTTATTAATATATTTGATCAATTAGTAAATTAACAAAAAAAAATAGTGAATTAACTAAAGCATCCATTTCAAGGGATGTATATGTATATACAGCCATAGTTCTACGTTGTGGCTATAAAGGCCTATACATTTTGATGATGTAGTTCAGATTGAACGATAATTTGTCGAGTTTGAACTATGCGACCAGAACTATGGATCGAAACTGTCTTACGTCTGAAATGCAACCACTGTCTGATAATTATCCGACCAGGAGGCAATTATTATATCAAACAAGTAAGCCTTTATGGCATACTGTTGAGAAAAAGCAATATATAGTGAATTGAATATTGCCAGTTAACTATTTATTATTTGTCATCAAATAGACTTAAAATGGAGTCATATATATGCGTGTGCGTGTGTTTTTGTGTTTGTGGTTATATAAACAAGGTACAAGAATTTTGGGATTATGTTTTATATAATTTATAATAGGGTCAAGCTTGAGAATATATATAATGTAACTATAATTCAAGGCCACATTTATACTTTTAAGGAATCATTTGTCAATTTGTGAAACACGGAGACAAACAACTCATCGACTATAAATCCTTGGGTATAACTTTTATAAACTAACGATTCTTTTGAATAAACCAGTTTTGCGATTTGTACTAGCTATCTAGATTTTCAGTTCCTGGTTCTATGTGTCCACATGTTTTTGAGAAAAAAATGTCTTGTAACCCTTTTTGGTTAAACTTAAATCTACAATATTGAGAAAACAAAATCCTCAACTGAGTTGTCTGATATATAATTAGAATTGTATTAATTTGCACCTTCTAAGAAAAACAAAACACTTTACAGTTTGCTACGAGACTAGGAATTTGTTGCCAACCGGTCCAGATTACCCTCGATATATTTTATTTATCATTTGATCAAAAAATTAAACATCATTATTTAAAGATTAGTGGTACATATACTCTTGTATTATCCTGCCACTTCAACTCTTATATCAATCTCTTTGCCTTGTTTTTAGGCGACACCATATTATTTTCTAATATTATTTTGAGTAGATATTGACCGGTGGATTTTGGAGTTCAAAGGAATAATAGGATATCAGGATCAACCACACTATGAATATATGAGTTAAATAACGCATGTGTATAAATAAATTATGTCTATTATATTGTAAATTATTATAAGATATATAATCCATGTTTTCTTTACCAAATTCGATGAGAATTATTATGATACGCGAACTACATTTTGACTGCACGAGTGGAAGAAGAGGTTTCATCAAAGCCAATCAATCAATGCCAATATAATTAACTATATAAATGCGCTATAAAGAACAAACCTAAGGAAAACTATAGCGAACTAAAATAATCAATGCTGATCGAAAATGCTCGACTCTTTTTTGTACATCCCCAAAAATTGTGGTACCATGTCACTTCCACCTCCTACACTATCTCATTTCTAATTTATTACGCAATTATATAAGTCGACAATGTTTATGACTAATCAATCATTAAAAATAATATAATGTACGATAGGGAGAATTGTCTTTGAACTCATGCATTCATGCCCATAAACAGATAGTGTGATCATGCATAACTTTTTACCTGGCAATGCATGTATGTACAGATTTTAAGTTTAGAACTGAGGTTACACGTTAAGTAGGTTATCATCATCTCCAACTTGTAGGTTATACCTATAACTAATAATGATTCACTGCTGTAGCCTATCAAATTCTAAATTTTCGTTTTTAAAAACTTCAAAATTGGATAATAGAGTTTTAGATGGAACGCTCAAGTTCAATCATTTGATAAATATACATATATATATATATATATATAAAATTAAATATTTGTTTTTCAGGCTTTTAATTAAATATTTGTTGTGCTTGATTATCATCATCTCTTAATGAAACTTATATTAACAACCTTCATTTCCATAAGACCATAAGACCATAACATATATACTGTACTTGAAATGAATATGGGAGTACACACATTTGTGATAAGTAAAAATACGCGTGGAGGAGACACCGAGCTAGAAAAGCAAGAGGCGTTACCAACTTTCTAAGGGAACGGCGCGTTGGACCCACGTGAAGATTGACGTCACTCGTTTCTTCGATCTTTCACTCGCTAGGCAGTTACAATCAAAATGGCCACGTGCACCTCACTTATTGGTACACGTTACTACATTTTGTTTCCTTTATAACCGAGAGACTGACATTTTGACTCTCGGTTTACCCGGTTCGGTCGTATATCGTTTCTAAACCGAATCGAACACATCACAACTTGTATTATACCTTCGTGTAGGGTAATTATGGAAGAGAAAGGTTAATTACTACATATGGGAAATTATTATTTAAGATAGTTGATTTCTTTTAATGAATTAGGAAAGATAAGTTGGCAATCGAGTCATTCTTTAGTAAGCGTAACTAATTCATTTAATTAATGAAAACATGTTTATCTTTTAGTACTTAAAATGGTCTTTGATCAATTACGTATGCTTTGCATTTTTATTCAACTTTAGGAAAATCGAATCTTTATTTGAAATCTTTAAGAGCTGGTATTTACTTTTAAATGCAGTCTTCATTATTAATAGTAAAATATTTAAACAATTAAATGTCTAATTAAATTAAGGGATGTAAAATGTAATTTATCCATCTATCTAACTGTAGGTCATTAATAACATCAAATGAAAAGGTAAAGTTGTGAGATATCTCCAAAATTACAATTCACATGTAAGCTCACATCAATATAGAGAAAGCAAGAATTTTCCTTT